TTTCTCCACATATTCATATTTATCAAAAAGTTCGTATAAACCATCTTGTAGATCATCCTTCGTAATTGAAACATCGACTTGGTAGAACGTAAATAAAGGAACTCAACTCATGTTTTAAATTCACCCAATGTTCCTTTGACACCAAGCAAATTTATTCTAAAGTATCAACTTGCCAAAAAGTGAATATAGGGTAGGAATTCGGCCAAGCTAACCTAAAAAAGTTACAGCACACGCCTAAAAACCTTAAGAGCTGGTCCGAAAATATCGAGAACCGAGTTGGAGGTGGTTGAATTAGACAATCCAAACCTGAATAAGTTCAATCGGTTTGAACTAGTCAACAAAGGGCTTCAAAAAATCAAAATTCATGCGCATTGGATGATGCATGGCAGTCACATGTCGACTTTTGACGAGCCTCCAGCAACGATATTCAAGCGGAGGATGCGCATAGAGGTGATGGTGTCGGAGCTGGTTTTGATGTTGCTCCTGGTGGTAGGAGCAGTAGAGTTCTCAAGATTGTAGCGGTGGTTCAGTGAGCTTATGGAAAGTGAAGAGGATTCCACGACGATAAAGGCTGAAATTAGGTGGATGAGCTGGTTGGCAGCCTCTAAAGTCAACAGGAAAGAAAGCGTAGACTACCTTCCAGGTGGTTAAGAATTGGGTTGCCCAAAGGTTGATGTCTTCTTCCTCCTTTCCTACTAGCAGCTATTTTAGGAATTTAAGGTTTTTTTTTTGAGGGAATATGGTTGTATTTTGTAAAGTCAGCATAAGTAAATAAGGGCAGTGTGATGAATCAAATTAGGCTTTGATAACAACTGATGTGGGACAAAGAAAACTTGAATACAGAGTTGGAAAACTTTTATTAAAAACAAAACTTAGAGGTCTCGGACCTCAATAATTAAAATAACCTGAATATATGAATAATAATCATGAATCTTTTTCCTAATTACTAAACTAGGTACCTTATTTATAGGCATCAAAATACATCAAAATAAGAAATTTAGAAAACTTAGTACATTGGAAAATAAATTGAATAGAAAGGATTAGGAAAATAGAAAATCTAGGAAACAAGAAAATGAATCTTCATGTTCCCCTTTATTGTAAAATTTACCAAAACTTAGAAAAGGAAATTAAATATTTTCTATTCTTTTTAGTTAACTTCCCAAAACATTTATATTCTTTACTGATTCTGCTTCATATTTTTTATTATTGAAGTATGTTCATTTTAGGAGCTTCCTGTTATGCATCAGAAGGTGGCAAGAAAAAGCTAATAACCCAACTCTCTATGTGGTTCTCAATAATGGAAAACAGCTTGAGTGGCCTTAGAAAGGAAGTGGTTCTTTAGCTTTTTATGACCATTACCTTTCCCTTCCCCTTCCCAGTTAACCCAAAAAGCCTTTATCCAAATTCAAAATTATCCAACTCAAAACTTCCAAAGTTTGAAAGTTTAGATGAGAGAAGCTAACCTGTTCGAAGTTTTGCTAGCTTCTATGGTGATTCCTTCTTCCCCTCCACAACCAGAAGAAAATATGCGTAAAAGATTACTGTGCAAGTAAATGGTGTCATTAGAACTGTGCTGTATATTGCGAAGAAGTCAAGCCTAACACTGAAAGATGTAAAAGCAAATTTGAGAAAAGACAAACCCATAAGATCCAGTTGCAAAATTTAGACCATCCCTACTGAGGCAGCACTCAAACTTATCAAATATCAGGTCATCATTATACAAATCGCATAACTGCATAAAACATAATTAGCTGTCAGCCACAAGAATACTTGGTATGCAAATTCAATTTCTGTGAAGATAACACAAGAAATTTAAGAGATGCATGGAGTAATGAAAAGAAAAACAGCTTGAGTGGTGGTTTCTTAGATTTCTGTAATGCTTAACTTTCCCTTTTCCCTTCCCAATTACCCTAAACACATGCCTTTTGGCTTGACAAAGAGATGCATCATTTAGAAAAGAATATTCATGAAAAATACAAATTACTGTGGTAAAGTAGATTGTAGGATTAGCTAACACCTTTCAATATGGACGGTTCTTACGTATCAAGTTTTTTGGATCTCCACAATCTCCCACCAATAGAACTCTTGGATAGAAAATATGGAATAAAGTTAAGAGTAGAGACCTATGCGAGAACAAAACATCTGCTATTTTGTTTTTCACTCTCTTAATTCTGCAATGTTGCATTCAACAACCACAAACATGTCCAATTTATTGAGTTTCAGTTTCTGGCTGTTAGCATCAGTCACTTTATTGACATAACAGTGTCAATGTTCATGATGGCCTCGTTCTAAATAAAGAAGCATAAACTAAACAAAAGTCCTTAGCTCTCTACGGTAGCCAAGAGGAACAGTCCTTGCTCCTCTGCATTTGGTTACTAATATAGCTGCCAATTTAACCAAAAATAAAAATGGCAGAGTTACTTTTCATCACACAAGATCCTCCATCAAAATTAAACTCCATAAATATATATCTTTATCACTTGATATTTCAAATATATATATATATATATTTTTCAGCTGAGCATCACAATGATATGCCCTTACCTTGGTGCGTAGATGCTCATGAATCTTAAATACTGAAACTGGTGAAGAATCTCTACGGATATCCCACAGCTGAACCAGAAACAAGAACTGTCAGTTATAATAAGGCATGTGAATTAGTGCTTTTCCATCACAACGAAGTATGCATGAGAAAATACCTATTCTAAAGTGTGGTAATAGGTCATTGGTGTCTAATATATACTTAGATGCCCAAAAAAAGATAGGAAGCAAATATAAATTCAGTTGGTAGCTATTGTATGCTTACTCTTTCATTTTTGATTTGATAATACTGGCATCCACTTATTTTATTTCTCAAAAGGTCCCAAAACTCCAATAAGATATTGGAACACTATATTATAAGAAAGTTTTTGTTCACTAACTCCAAAGGTGCTGAAATTCACATCATACCTGAATTGCTGGACAGTATTTAACATTTTTTTTTCAAGCGACTTAAGTGATCAAATTAAAAGAATTCTAAACTCCTATCATAAACTTGATTATAGCAAAACTTTCAACAACTAATCTCCCTGGAAAGAATAATTATTTTGGATGAGATAAATTTCTAATTCATGGTAAATCCTGCATCAGAACACCTTTAGGTTCATGTAATCCCGACTTAGGATGTGCCTCCCATCACTTGCAAACTTTACATCAGAGATGGCTGCAATAATTTCTGTAAACAATGATTTTGAGCCAGGTTCTGCATCTTGCAATCTGTATGGTATAGAAAATGTAAATAACAACAAAAGCTTCAACTATTTAGGTTGTAATACACAATCGGTGAGTGAACTACTAAATTAACAATCACTCACACTCTTGCACCATTATCACATAATGCCGATTGCCGCATGTCAACTAGACGAATGTAACCTCTTGAGGTGCTAAACGCAAGCAGATTACAGTCAATCGGATGGAATGTAGCCGATGTTATGACTTCTGAATAAACATATGAGAAAGACATTAAGATACAAGTACAAGATATACAGCCATGACAAGAGTTGTTCTGTTGATTAGGAAAAGAAACAAATTCATGAACAGTTAGTACTCTAAAATAAACTGCTTATGGTTCATTTAGCTTTCTCTTGCAAAAAAAAAAAAATTATCCGAAAACAGCTTTAAGAAGCATGAAATGAAACTTCTAACCAATCATATTGTCTATTAATCTTGCCCTTGATAACCATGCATACAGCAGGTAACATATCATGAATTTGATAGAAACTCTTGAACTGTGAAAAGTAGTGAATATGATGCTTGAAGAACATAAACTTACAATACATCGAACTAAATCACTTGTGACCAAGAAAAAGAAAACTCTTTCCAGCCACTAACAAAGAACAAACACTTAATCCATCTAAATTTCATATTATGATATGACAAGCTCTCCAAGGTCCTCATAACGTGATCATAACAAAATATGGCTTGGAAAGTAGTCATTGGAGGAAGCATTGTAGTTTCATTGTCCATGGCTGCCCTCTGTCCTAGCATGAGAGTAAATCCCCTAATCATCTCCTCCTTCGGAGTGTTGAAGCTAGAAGGTTATGGAATTCAACTTTATTCCTCCAAAATTTGTCTTGGATGGATCGCAGTTGGTTTGCAGAACAGCTATGGGTTTGTGTTAGGGCATGTAAATCCAGGATGAATCTCATTTCCCTTATTCTGATTGCTATCGCTTGGGTAACCTGGAAAGAAAGGAACCGAAAGTTTTCCAATGTGTTTTGCTAGTGTTAGAGATTATTGATTTTAAATCTTAAGTATTTTGTTAATAGTCATCCTCTTAACTATAGGGAGGGTTCAGGAAACTTAAAGATATTTTGCTTTAAAATTTTCAGCTCAGTTTATAATGCTATTTCTCTTTTCCTCTAAAAGAAAATTTCCTCAAATCAATCCAAGACATTAAGAACAAGATCTTTTCTTGTGGGTTAAAATGTAATTTTCATAGAACAAAGAATACACAAATCCATTTTGCTTAAACACTCTCCTATACTTTCATATCCTATTAGAAAAGCAAACATTCATGATATAATGCAAATTAAGATAACTTGTGATGCAGAAGAAGAAGATCCTAAAGTGCACATATTTATAAGATATATTTATATGTACTGGTAATGTTCATGTATTATTACAGAGTTTAGGTCATTTAAGAATTAGTATCTATACAAAATAAGTTTATTATTTCCTATTTAGTTAAGGATCTTATTTAGTTATTTTCTATTATGGATTATTTCAATTAATTAGCTTATTTTCCTATTTTATAAAATTCTTAGATAGACTTGAAAAATTCTTATTTTGATTGTATTATAGTGCCTATAAATAAGGTATCCTAACTTAGTTTTTTGGTAGATCATTCATGATTATTACATAAACATTGAGTTATTAATTTGATTCTTGAAATCCAAGATCTCTCTTGCTCTTCATACCTGCCTAATATTATCCTGCACTTATGTGTGTTTAAATGTCCTATTAGAAAAGCAAACATTCATGATATAATGCAAATTAAGATAACTTGTGATGCAGAAGAGGAAGATCCTAAAGTGCACATATTTATATTATAAGATATATTTATATGTACTGGTAATGTTCATGTATTATTACAGAGTTTAGGTCATTTAAGAATTAGTATCTATACAAAATAAGTTTATTATTTCCTATTTAGTTAAGGGTCTTATTTAGTTATTTTCTATTATGGATTATTTCAATTAATTAACTTATTTTCCTATTTTATAGAATTCTTAGATAGACTTGAAAAATTCTTATTTTGATTGTATTTTAGTGCCTATAAATAAGGTATCCTAACTTAGTTTTTTGGTAGATCATTCATGATTATTACATAAACATTGAGTTATTAATTTGATTCTTGAAATCCAAGATCTCTCTTGTTCTTCATACCTGCCTAATATTATCCTGCACTTATGTCCTTGACATTTAAACACAGTTTCCTTCAACATCTCAACTTATTGTCATCAGAAGACAAAGAAAGAGTAAAATAACTGAACTTACAACATAGTATCCGCGAGGAAATTAAAAAATGTAACGAAACCAAATATATATTATCTTTTACATGTTGTAAAGACTTACCAATAAGATCCTCCATGCTTGAAGGCTTCATGTCAATTATATTGAAGCACTGGCTACTGATCTCAAGGTTCCATAAATTTATTCTGAGGTCATCTGCAGATATGAAGGTCTCACCATCACTGTGCAGAGATTAAGAAACAAAATTATCATTTCATACAAAACAGACATTTTATGTTTTTCATACTACATCTCTCTGGAGAAGATTTTCAATTCTAAAATTCTCTAAAATGTTATGTTGTTTAGCACTTTGTAAAACATCCAGAAACTACACCAAGAAGGAAAGTATAAAAGGGTGGAAAAGTGTGAAGATAAATGATCCCTCTCCATTTCTTTTTTTTTTAAATACTTTACCATGAATTATTAGGCTAGAAGCAGAATTTTAAATAAAATCCAGATAAAGATACCATTTACCTATTATTTGAAATTGAGTTAATATTAAAATCATGTGCATGAGCATAGACCCTTCGAGATCTTGCATAAGCAGTGTCTTCAGCATTGGCAATCTGGTCATATAACAAATTAGTCAACTTCTGTACAATGAGTAAAACATAACAAACTTCAAAACCAATATAGATCTACAAATCCAGAAAATTTTATGATATTAAATAGCAAACCCATACTTTGTTAAGAATTTCTTGCGATGGGAACATATTTTTCGCTGTCCCTGTCCATGCTGGAAGACCATTTGAAAGAGATGGTGAATCTTGCCCGCTCGTAAAACTCCTTTCAGCTAAAAGAGAATTCTCTGAACATACAAATGGATGTGCATTCATCTCCTTTATCTTCTTCATCTTTTGATCCTTAACCTAATAACCATGACATGAAAACAAACAATAAACAAAATAAATACAGGCCACTTTAGCCATGGTGACCTAGTATGGAATAGACAAGATATTGAGTCTGGTCTATTGAATACACTTTATTGTAGACTGCACTCTGGTGCTTGTTATTCTTTTCAATAAGATTTAAATTCTTAACCTATGTAATAATGGAGTTTTTTTGAAGCTCATCACAAAACTTCCCTTGAATTAATAATGCAAGTAAAAACTGTAAGTAATTTGCTGCTTCAAACCATGTCTAGAATAATCATGGCCTTCCACAATTGCTCTACAGGCCAAGCACGAAAAAGAGTAGCAAAATGGACTAAGATAGCAGCAGAAGTTTAACGAATAAAGAATAAAATTCTATTCCACATAGCTTTCCCAAAATTTAGCACTACTCGGCATTTCTTAATTCTAAATTAAATCATTAACAGATAAATTATTATCAATTACCACTATCCACATAGGAACAGAACCATATCTAATGTCCACTATATAATTCAATTCAGGTATCACTAGGAAGTTAATCAAAATGTTATTCTCCTCTTGAATGCCACCTTCGATTGGAATCATTGATTAAAGGGTAAGATAATAGAACCATGTTTCTTCATTTGAAGGCCCCTCTATAAATATAGATTTCGAAAGCTGCAAGGTAAAGACGATAGATCTTCCGTTTCTTATTCCATTTGTTCAAACATCTCATCGTCCAATATCCCTTCATAAAGACGAAATACATTTGAAATCACTTGGTAAATCACAACTCTTTTTTGTACCATTCCTTTCCATGCTTCACATTTCCTGTCTACTTTTCTGTTTGGATAGCCCAGAATGCACTCAAGGCAGGGCCACATTGGACTCATCCATGCACGGTAAAACCAGAGAGTGATGTGAGGCCCCCGCAAGACTGATCCATGTTAAACACATATCTTATCCCCTAAGACAACTACGACAACTAAATTCGCCCTAAATTGAACCAAGAATCCCAAGTTTACAGTTTACCCTAAATTCGCCTTTGACTGCTAAGACAACAACATAGAGGCTTTCAATGCCTACTCTTCAAAATTATTATTTTTCTTTTTGAAATAAACTCTCATGATTATTATATGATTGATAGAAAAATAACTTTCCATTACTATTTATTCCATAACCATTTGAGTTCAATAAATTGCAAGGAATTTCTCTCCCTATCAGCCACAAATCATTTTATTGGCTGCTAGCTGATTTCCTATTTTGTCAAACTAAGAATATTTCCTTTTTATGACATATATTTTTTTTGAAATAAAAACTAAGAATCTTTCCTAAATATCATATGTAAAAAAATAACGCAAATTATCTTCTTATCAAGAAGATAATCACAGAAGAAAGATGAAATTACATTAACAAGTTCAACATTACACCACTAAACGGCAAATCCTTAGACTAGCCCAAGTTCTCAACTTCTTTAATGATAACATCTATAGTTGATTGATCAGTTTCCAGGTAAGTTTTAACTTTTGAAGCACTGCATGATATAGATAAGAAATTAGAATAATTTTCCCAATACAGACCATACCTTCCACAATTTAATTGTTTTATCATTTGTTGAAAGAATAAGTATGGAATCATTTGGGGCAGCACACCATCTTACTTTGTTGATCTTCTCTTCAATCTCTAAACTCTTCAGGTAATCAAACTATAGGAAAAGTAATACCATCAGGATCTGCAACACACGCATGCAACAAGAATATATGGAACACTTTACAGACAACAGGAAATACAAAGTAGCTTAGAATTGCACTTTTAAATTATTGAAAGCATACCTCAGGCTCATGGCTCTGAAACTCAGTCTTGTATCGATACTCAGGATGACGAGTTGAGATAAAATCTAATTGCTCCAATTGATACCTAGAACGGGGCTGACTTGGAGTCTAAGAAGCCAATAATCAAGGGTAAAAAGATCATAAAGCTGCCAGCCTAAACAAAAGATAACCTGAAATAATTTCAAAAGATATCTCACTAATTTAAGATTTAGCATATCTAGCAGAGTTCAGAAGTTTGCATAAGATTCTCACATCTTTTTCATCCTTTCTCTCGAATATAACAACACGGCCACCTCTATCACCAACAGCCAGATAATCACCACTCTTATCGAACTCAATTGCGGAAATAATATCAACTAAAACGAGAATCAAAAGTAAAGATATCAACAAGCAAATTACATAAATTAATAGATAGTGAAAACAGATAGTAAAGGTAAAGATTAGTGAAGAGAAGTAAACAATTTAATACTCGTTTTTTATCTCGCTAGCCAAACAAATCAAAATGAAATTCAAAAGAGAAGGAAATATCGCAAATTCACAATGCACAAAAATAAAGAAATGCACAACAAAATGCGGCCATCAGTTGTCAACTCACACAAAATATACACATACATATTTTCTGAGAATATGTTAAGTGGCAGGGATTAGAGAGGAAGAAACCCTAACCGTCTTGAATGTCTTCGCCTGGACATCGTTCCCCGAAGACCTGAGAGAACTTCCAGTCGACGAGAGAGCTCAAACTCATGGCTAGTACTCCAAAGACGTTGTCGTTTGTCAGATACTTCTTGACGAACCGGCCATCGTCCTCAATTTACAAGCTAAAGCCAACTGAAAATCAAAAGTACATGTTTGACTTAAAAAGAAAAAGAAACGGGAGCGATCATGTCCGATTCTGAGTTTTCTCTAAATTTGAATTATCCTTTCTGAATTTCAGGAGAATTTCTAGTGATGGATTCTGCGCTTTTTGGCTTACGGGCTGAGATGCTCAATGTGACGTCGTTTTTGTGCCTCAATCAACATTATTATTATTGTCATTATTATCAACTTAAAAATTATTTTTTTTAAGAATTTAATTGTCACTCCTCGAAACGACATCATTTTGGTCTTGAAACTATTTTATGTTTTCACCAAAAAGAATAAAATCAATGGTGTCTCGAATCCAGATTTGTCCTTTTATTTTTTCATTTGTGAATTCTGGGTTCATTCTGCTTTTCTTTTCAGGGTGTCAAATTACTTTAATACACATATAGATCCCTTTTCTGATATATATATATATATATATGATTTCATAAAATATATCTGTTTTTAAGTCATTGGATTTTGATTCTCTGGATACCATGTTATGGGGGAGAATAATGAAATTATATGGATTTATTCCCTGGCTGAACATCATTCATTTATAACCTCTTCACAACGTATATAAATACAAATAAAGATAATGATTCAATTTACTTGAGGCACAGCACCCACATCATTTAATAAGCGATTTGCAAAATTAGCTACCATGTTTTTGGAGAATTAATTTAAGATGATGGTCAAAATTTTAAAATAATAATAATAGTAAATACCTAAATAATAAAATAATGATCATATTCATCCAGATCATAATTAATGTCAATTTTACTAGTATTCATATATATATATATCAAATAAGAAAAAATTTGTCAAAGACAAGTTTTGGAGGAATATTATATATATATATATATGTATTTGAAAAAGTTTAAGTGTGACAAAGTAATTTAGATATATAAAAATAATAATAAATTTTATAAATAAAAAAATCTTACAAAATTAATAAAGGCTATTACTTTTGACAACTAATTTGAACATAAAACTCACATAAAACTTTTGCTACTTTTACAATACTTCTTAAAAATATAAATGAATACGTAACAAGACCTAAATAATCACAACTAGATAATACAAAAGAATTTCATAAAATTTAACATTTTAAACTCACACTATTGATCTTCTTAAAGACATGTTTTCCAAAATGAATATGCTTGATTATATTCCGATGTTTTTGTTTGTCAACAAGTTGTTAATGTAGTGGTCTATTCATTGTCTTTGTAACTTCAAGTGCCGATTGAACCACGCAGTTGCCGTATTTGTCTTTCGCTATTTGCGAGAGTTTGTTATTTTGGATAAGTTCTTTGATTACATATGACATTCCTATTGGTGTTTCGAGACATTTTTGAACTAAGTAACTTCCTACTTCTTGCATTGAAATTCTCTCGTAATGCCCTTTAAGTTGAGAACAAATTTTATCATTATATAAATGGTTATGAAGTTCCAAGACATGTTGGAGAACAAAGTTTCCCCATGGATCCTGAGCAAACCACATTGCATGTGTTGAAATTAAGTTCAATATATCATCTCTATGTGGTCTCTTTAAAAAGGTAATAAAGTTATTCAATGACATGTATCTTTGTTCGTGACTGGCTAAGTTCATAGCATGTTTAATGCCTATTTGATAAAGTACTTTTTTCTTCTCTACATCAAGGAGACGAAGACAATTCAAGATGATATGATGAGATATCTTGTCAATCATTAGGTCGAAGAATAAAAAAGAAATAAGTGTTAACATTTGGTTCATCAATGGTGATTTCTGAATTAAATGAAGAAGCTTCTTGATGACACTTAACTTGCATGAATTTCTTGATACAACAAGAAAGGATTCGAGTTGAGATATTATTTTATCCACAATGAATCTCAATTGGAATTCATGAATCCCTTAAGTGCTTTGTTTAGTTCTTGATCAATCATCAGCTCGAACAAGTGGAACAAGATTATTTCAAGTATTCTCTTGACCTCCAAAACACAATGATTAGAATGTATACTTTGATGATGAATCCAATTACCAAATTGTGAGACTGGTTCTTCATTAAAGTTCATTCCTTGATTGTTAAAGAATCCCTCATTTAGGTAATTAATATAACTAGGCGTATGTGTTCCTCTATAATTTGCAGAACATAAACCTTGAAGTAACTTTCGTCTAATACCTAAATAATCTCCAGACCAAAGTGAATATGATGGTGGAAATTCATGCACTGAATTTTGGATATCACTGAACCTAATTTCGTGACAATCATTGTTAGCAAACATTTGTTGGGTTGTTGACAAAATCGAAGAATTTCTTACTTGAGATTCAACAGTGTTATTGTTATTAAAATTCAATTGAAGATCTTCTAAAAGATGTGAAATATTGTTTGAAGATGAAAAATTTGGAGTAGCGATCTGTATAATCCAATAATAAATTTGTGAGTTTTCACTACTTCACAAAACATAAATAACCATATTTGTGTAATTTTAAAATTTATTCTCCTACTAAAAATTTATATATTGT